GCTGTGAGTCGCGCACATGCCCAGTGAGGTACGTTTGCCTGCAGCTTGCCACAGGTTCACCATCATGGCTATACAGTCTGTTTTGCCTGAACAGGGGGTTGGACTAGAAGACCTCGAAGGCCCCTCCAACTTTATTCTGTTTTGTTTTGTTCTGTTTATTCTATTTTCTCTTCTCCTCTTTCTCTTCCGTTTCTCCTCAATTTTTTCCTTTTCTTTTCCATTCCATTCCATTTTCTTTTCTGTCCTATCCTATCCTGTTTTCTATTTTATTCCGTTCCCTGTTCTATTCTCTATTTTATTTTATTCTCTATTCTATTCTTCCATCTGCAGTGATTCACTTAACATCTGTGGCAAGAAAGGTATCGAAAGATGCTCCTAGAGAGAGACGCGATGTCATTTCTGGCCTTTTGGTTGACGCTCTTCTCCTGTTGTGTGTGTGTGTGTGCGTGTGTGTCTTTTTGTAGGTCCACAGAAGAAATCATTGCACTTTTTATTTCCATCACATTCGTGCTTGATGCCCTGAAAGGAATCACAAAAGGTAAATCTGGTGGGGAAAGAAAAAAAAAAATCTCACCTGGCTACTGCATTAATTCTTCTTCACGCAAAGCAGGCCTTTCTTCAGAAAACAGTGTTTCCCATGCTTAGATATAAGACTTTTAAATTTTTGCTTTCAGGTTAGTCTTAATTCCCCACAAAAGATGCATTTGGAGGTAGTCCTCAACTTGCAAGCTCATTTAGTGACCATCCAAAGTTACAACGGCACTGAAAAAAGTGACTTACGACCCTTTTTTACACCTACGGCCGTCACGAGAGGCTTGACAACCGACTCACATTTATGACAGGATTTGAGGCCACTTGAGGGTTTATCTGTGCCCTAAATGAGGTCACATAAACCTCCAAATGGCCTCCACGACTCTCAGAGAGAGCGCTAACGATCAGATGTCCACAAGGAATAATAAATCCTTCCACCCTCCACCATTAGCTCAGAAACGAGGAAGCTTCTTGGATGAGAAGCGAAACCTCTTCAATGGGGGAAAAAACAAAAAACAAAGCCCAGTTGCCTTTTGAAAAAGCACCTTTGAGGCAACAACGATCTGGATGGCGGAGAATCTCCATAGATGTTAAATGGGGTGCTTCACACGGGGTCATTTAAAAAAGGGGTGGGGGGAGAAATGGGGTGCTTCAGGTGAGGGAGGCCTAGCGCAGGCATATCTACTCTTGAGCCTCCCTGTTCTGACCAAGGCTTCCTGAGACAGTAACAATCACACGCTGTTCCCAAAAACCTGGTTTTTATTTCAACGGCTGTGAATTATATGCATTCACAGCCCGTAATCCTTCGGGATAAGTCTGATAAGCACCCACCTTTATCTCCCTTGAAATGCCGCCCACAACTAAATTGCCATTTCGCTGTACAAGACCAAACGGAGCGCAAAGTCCACACAGAGCTTCAGAGTTTAAACCGACCAGAACAAACAAAGTTGCTTCCTGCAAAGGCTCCTGTCCCTTTGCTCCTCCTTTATGTCTTGCGGGAGGGGCCAATCATCTCCCAGATTTACTCCCGAGTCGCCCCTTTTGTCTTAACTGTTCTTGGCTTCTGGCAGCTCTACGCACATGGGCACTGGGAACAGGCTCCCGCTATTCCTCTGCCTCGCTGCTGTCAGATTCTGGAGGCTCTGGAGTCAGCATATAACTCCCAGATGGCCCTGGCCCCATCTCTGGGTGGGACGCAGGACCCTCGTCCAAGTCCTCCCCAGACTCCCAGACTGGCCCAGGTTCCTCCCCACTGTCTGCCTCTGCTGCCAGCTCCGTCGGCCGCTGGGGTACCACAACACTCCCAAGGCCTCTCACAAACACTCCTATGCGTTACCCCATAGATTTCCTGTCCCTCGTTTTCACCCAGTCCTGAGGTCTGCTTCTCCCCCATTGTAGAGACATCCCTGGAGACCCCTAACCCCCACGTCACTCTGCAACTTTTCTTTCTTTTGCAAAATTAGACAGGCTGCCCCTCTTTTGGCATGGGGGGGGGGTTGCGGGCTGCAGATGTGAGGTTGCCAGCTGTCTGCACTGAGCTCAGCTGTTCATGACGAAAGAAAACCCATTTTTTTGATTTCGGCCCCAAATGGAGAACCAGAGGTTGCCACATGGTTGTAATTTCCTCCATCAAAGGCGAGCCGTGTAAATAATCATTTCCCTTACTTTTATTTTCTTTTTCTTTTCTTCTCCCCAACCTCTCTCTCTCTCTCTCTCTGTCTCTATCTCTCTTTCTCTCTCTCTATCTCGGTCTCTCTCTGTCTCTTTCTCTCTCTTTCTCTGTCTCTCTCTGTCTCTGTCTCTATCTCTCTCACACACTCTCTCTCTCTGTGTGTGTGTCTCTCTGTCTCTGTCTCTCTGTCTCTGTCTCTATCTCTCTCACACTCTCTCTCTGTGTCTCTCTCTGTCTCTGTCTCTCTCTGTGTGTCTCTCTGTCTCTGTCTCTATCTCTCTGTCTCTATCTCTCTGTGTCTCTCTCTGTCTCTGTCTCTATCTCTCTGTCTCTCTCTCTCTCTGTCTCTCTCTCTGTCTCTCTCTCTCTGTGTCTCTCTGTCTCTGTCTCTCTCTCTCTCTCTGTGTCTCTCTGTCTCTGTCTCTATCTCTCTGTCTCTGTCTCTCTCTCTCTCTCTGTCTCTCTCTCTCTCTCTCTCTCTCTCTCTCTGTCTCTCTCTCTCTCTCTCTCTCTCTCTCTCTCTCTCTCTCTCTCTCTCTCTCTCTCTCTCTCTCTCTCTCTCTCTCTCTCTCTCTCTCTCTCTCTCTCTCTCTGTCTCTCTCTCTGTCTCTCTCTCTCTGTGTCTCTCTGTCTCTGTCTCTCTCTCTCTCTCTGTGTCTCTCTGTCTCTGTCTCTATCTCTCTGTCTCTGTCTCTCTCTCTCTCTCTGTCTCTCTCTCTGTCTCTGTCTCTCTCTCTCTCTCTCTCTCTGTCTCTCTCTCTCTCTCTCTCTCTCTCTCTCTCTCTCTCTCCCTCTCTCTCTCTCTCTCTCTCTCTCTCTCTCTCTCTCTCTCTCTCTCTCTCTCTCTCTCTCTCTCTGTCTCTCTATCTCTGTCTCTCTGTGTGTGTGTGTCTCTCTCTCTGTCTCTCTTTCTCTGTCTCTCTCTGTCTCTCTCTCTCTCTCTCTCTCTCTCTCTCTCTCTCTCTCTCTCTCTCTCTCTCTCTCTCTCTCTCTCTCTCTCTCTCTCTCTCTCTCTCTGTCTCTCTATCTCTGTCTCTCTGTGTGTGTGTGTCTCTCTCTCTGTCTCTCTTTCT